AATACGATTTTTTTCTTTTATAATCTTATAGTAGTTGTTTAATCACTATTTAAGTATTTAAAGACCCTAACATGCTTATAGTTGCCTCATTCCTTGAAGATATTTGTACTTGTAGATTAAACAACAGTTTTTTGCACTTGTAACATAATTTTATTTGCTGATTAAAACAAATTTGCTGGTATTTTTATCGGTGAGGATCATGACTTATTTACTACAAATTCTGTATATAAACTAAAGTCATTTTGTTTCATAACTTACCCGTTATTACTAATACTGAACTTTTTGTTGTTGTTCTACATTATTTATGTAAAACGTTTTTGAGAGATTTACTAATGACTTATTTGGTTAATTTTGGTTCCAGTCCAGAAATTTGGAACCTTTGCTTCTTTAGACCTGTAAATTATCATTACGTACAATATCAAGGTTAACAATGAGTACGTGATCGATAAGAGAATATATTAAAATTGAAAATTTAAGCTCGTATTGAGATCATTAAGTTGTAGTTATGTTAGCTAAGACTGTGTTGGAACTGAAGATCCTTCTGCCTTTGACCTTCTTCTAACAACAGCCATTTGTTGGTTATTTAATTTTACAAGTGTTTGGTAATAACTGCTGTAGACTAACCATAGATTTTAATTTAACTATCTTTATATTTTTGTGAATAAACAGAAAAATTAGTAAGCTTGTCTTATGATCGTTAGCGTTGTTGTTTCAAAAGTTAAACTGTCAATAAAACAAGCAACTACTCCAGAAATTCTAGTATGACTACAGTAGTATAAAATAAATGGGCTGGGGGTGGTCTTGTGTTAGCATATCAGGACTGTTTCATGGTTTGAAACATTGCCGCAAATATGCACTCCGCACTTTGGTGCCGTGTGTGTGTGATATAAGAGTGACAGTTAGGATAACTTTTAATTTCACCCTTCCATAACTAGTTAAGAATATATCTGTAGTAAGTTATATTCAAGCATTTTTCTAAATTTTAGTTTACGCACAGATTCTCGTATCAGTTTGACCTTGTGTCTGTGTCCACACCATGATGGCCTGGCATAGCCTGCTGGTTAGGGTGCTTAACTCCCAATCTGCAAGTCAGAGAGTTGAACCCTATCAGTGAACATGCTTGCCCTTTCAGCTGTTGGGGCGTTATAATAAAGTGATACATCTCATTTTCGATTAGAGTAGGCCAATAGTTGACGGTGAATTGTGTTTACTAGCTGCCTCCCCTCTACTCTATTACATTTTAAATTAGGGGCGGCTAATGCAGATAGTCCTAGTGTAGCTTTGCATGAAATTCAAAACAAACAAACAAATAAACCACACCCTGGAGCGAGGCAAGCCTATCTAAAGGTTATAGTGTTTTAATTATTAATTTTTAATCATAAAATATCTGAAGAATGATTATTGTGTTCTAATTATTAATCTTACGTATCATTTTGTTATTTGTTTGTCTGAATTTCACGCAAAGCTACACGAGGGCTATCTGCGCTAGCCGTCCCTAAATTAGCAGTGTAAGATTAGAGGGAAGGCAGCTAGCCATCACCACCCACCGCTAACTCTTGGACTACTATTTCACCAACGAATAATGGGATTGAACCTCACATTATAACGCCCCCACGGATGAAAGGGCGAACATGTCTGGTGGGACGGGGATTCGAACCTGCGACCCGCAGATTGCGAGTCGAGCGCCCTAACCACCTGACCATGCCAGGAGTGATTTGTTACTATTTTTTTAATTTTCTATTTTATTTAAAAAAAAACAAAGTTTGGTTACAAAGCTGTGTTTGTTAATTGTACACAAGAAACCCAGTTTAATTATTATGTTTTATTTGTGGATCTAATCCAGAGCTAAAAACAGCAGTTGTGCTACACAGTCAGTTGATCATTGTAGAAGTTACCTATGTGAATTTATAATTTCATATTATGTTACAACGAAATGTGTCTGTAGAACTCAGTGCGTTTTGTAGGTTAAACGTTGATTTAAATACACCAACATGGGTCATAAGAAAACTAATCCAGGAGACAGAGTGGCAACTTGAAGCTCTTGGATAATAAATTATTATTAACAATTTTAATGTAATAAATAAATATAATATTGACTTACTGTAATTCCACTCATGTCATATTGTATTTCATCGTGTTGACGTTAGCGATGATTTCTACTGAAGTAGAGTTAACGCCATCAGACTTCTACTATACTATATAAAGGATGGAGAATGCGTTAAATACTATGATGTTACATCACTTTATCATTGGAACAATAAGTATTGTGAATACCCTATTGGAAAATCAATGATAATTAGAACTGCTGTTTCTGATTCAAAATTTGTATTTTGGATTTGTAAAATGCAAAGCATTTCCTCAAGGAAACACTGATGACCGTGTTTCTTAAAAAATAGCCCTGCAGGGTAGCTATCATTCCAAAAGGCTCCGTCAAAAGCTGTCATGTCCAAAGCACTCCACACTTCTCTGTTGAATTTCTGTAATTCATCTAACGTACGAGAACAACAGTTTCTAAGTGTTAATTTTAACAATCCAATCGTATAGAAATCCATAGATGTTTGCATCCATCGACTTTAGCATCATATTTTCGTATGGAATAACATTAATTATTATTATTAGGAATAGCACATATGGAATTGCAGAAATACCAATTTTATTCTCCAACTGCTTCATGTATGCAACAGCTGAACGCAAGGTGTGACTGGAAGCTTTATCTTAGTGACCATGTATACTGTTAGCCTCGTTTCCAGACGGAGCTCCTTTTTGATTATGTTGTGCACTGTTGCCTGGGGCACATAGACGACTTTTGGCACTGACTTTTGTATTCATGTATTCTCGCTTGTTAAAAGACGCTTCACTCTGCTAACTATGGCAGGGATATGACTTGTTGCAATTTCCTTCTGAATAATTTTGTTACCCAGGTTAATCCATATTCCCTTGTTTTCCAATACCGTTAAGTACAAGGAGTACCCTCGGGGCCTGGAAATTCTAAATCTTCGATCTGAACACAATTCTGTAATTTGAGCGTGTGAATGCTTTGCTTCTGAAAGGGCTGTTACATACCCTTTTCAAAAGCAATAAATTTTCGGTGACATTACACTACCTACGCAACGCCAAACAATGTCAAAATGTAATTCTGATACAATTCATACCGTCGTGACTTTATATTGATTGTTGTTATAACGTAACTTGCTGGTTTGCATATTCAAAGTCGTTTTAATATAACATTCTCAACCCATTACAAAAGAAGCTCAAGATTTGGTTACAATGCTCTAATGATAAATTTTATACAGTACACCAAATACACCCATAGTTTTTTACGGTGTTCTACTTTTCAATTCTTTACATCAGCAGAAACCCAACATACCGCTGTGCCACTGGGGTGGGGGGCATTTTAATTGTTTATTTTACATATCAAAGAACCAAAATTTGAATATAATGTTTTTACTTTTAAATTTTATACACCAGAGACCTAAAGAGTAGTTATAATGTTCTAATTGTTGCTTTTATACGCCTTAAAACGAAAAAAATAGTTTTTGTGTTCTAAGTCTTAATTTTATTTAATACGAAAGCAGTACAAGCTGATAACTGTGTTCTATTTCAGTATTGATTTGTATCCATCAGACACCCAAACAATTGTTAGATTACTCTGATTTTTAATTTTATACAACAAAGAACCATAAATGGTTACTTTATACTAATTGTTAATTTTACAAGCCAGATACTAAAAGTTTGGTTACTTTATATTAATTGTTATTTTTTTTACTCCAAAGACTTAATTTGGCTACAGTGTTCTACTTGTTAATTTCACACACCAGAAACCCAAAAAATTGTTACATTTCTGTAATGGTAAATTTTATTCGCCAGAGACCCACATTGTTGTTTGTTTGTAGTTATGCACAAAGCTACACAATGGGCTATCTGTGCTCTGCCCACCACGGTTATCGAACCCCGGTTTCTAGCGTTGTAAATCCGCAGACATACCGCTGTGCCACTGAGGGGCGAGACCAAAATATTTATTACGTTGCTTGAATTATTCATCTGATATAATATAACAAATACTCCCGGTTTAGTTCTTTGTTCTAATTGTTACTTTTATATATCAAAGATCAAAGCTTGGTTAGAGTATTCTATTAATGATTTATTTTATACAATACGCCAGGGGTTGCACTTTAAATACAATGCTCTATTTTTTTAACTTCGTTCTTCGTGAGAGACTCACACTTAGGTTATTATGTTCTGATTGTTAATTTTTCCCATCTGAAGACTGAACCAGTTAAATGCATTCAACAACTACTTTATTATTTGTGTTTCTAGGTAAATTTCATATTGAGAAATTTGAGCATGTTCCATAGATACTCCAGTATTTTTATTTACGTACAAGTTTTCTTTTAAGACAATTATCGCATTTAATATGCATCCAACTTTCCAAATGAAACTGCTTTGTGGTGCTGAGTGTGATCTAATGGTTAAAAGTTCAAACCATGATTTGCTGCTTAACACGCTGCATACTTACTTTCAACCGTGTGAACGTTATAAGTATATAAGTCAGTCCCGCTATTTAGGCCCAACAGTGGTGAGTCTAAAAAATTATAATTCTAAAAACCGTGTTTCGATAGCCGTGGCGGTCACAGCACAGCACAGATAGCCCATTGTGTAGCTTTGTGCTTAACAACAAACAAACCCGTTATTTAGCTTAGAATAGACTTGTAGGCAGTGAATGATGCTGATTGGTTACACTCGACCCTGCTGATCAGCATTTCTCCTGAATCTTGAGATTTCTGACATGATCATTTAGCTTAAAAGTCGCAGTTGTTGTTCAGGTTGAAAACTCCAAGTAGGCTAAGCTAGCTTTGTATTTCAATTTACGTATATTTTCTACTGAGAGAACTAAATGTTCAGCATCCATTCCAGTATTTTACTTTGGACCCATATTTCAGGAAAAAGGTGAGCAGGTTTAACAACCAGTGCAATGTTCTAATTTGCAACCATATTTTTAGGGAGACAACTGACTGTATTCAACAGCCACTCCAAGGCTCAAATTGGTGGGAAAAAGAACCCGGTGGGTGGAAAAATTGAACGATCCTTTCAAGGTATTCTTGCTGGCTTGGTGTTCAATGGTCTTCGTCTATTAGACCTAGGAACAGAAAATGATCCTAGAATGACCACAGAAGGAGATGTGGAACTCCTTATGTCTATCCCATTCGACTCGAATCAAAAATTTGGTTTCCACGCACAAATGCAACAGGTATGTGTATGCAATAGAAAATATTTAGAAAGTGGTTTCTGTTTAACGGATCAACCACACTTAAATGAAAGTATCTTGCTGTATTGAAAACTCAACCAATTAATTTGAATAATTGTGTTCTAAATAACTATTTTTTCTTTCCCCTTTTTATCCCTAGCTTCACTATAGAATGACACAGAAAAGCATACCAAATCCGTATATATATATATATATATTTAGATTTATATTACTAAGTTATATTAGCTAGCTTGTCTAATAGTATTTACACAGTTTCAAGAAAAAGTTTTATTCGCTAACCATTCTTTTAAATAATCTCATATCTTATTATAATGGATGTAGCGTTCATGCCAGTATCTGTGTATGTAACCAAAACTCCTGCGCCATTTATTGAGTGGCACTACAAACAAAAACCCATAAAAAATTTCACACTTTGGGTATTCAAGGTTCAAACAATTAGAAAAATAACTACGGTATATGCAACAATCATTTCTTTATAATAGAACACAA